ACTTCGAGATCATATACGCCAAAAATCGGAAAAAATAAACATTCAGAGATCAAGTAATAGGACAAAACTTTTCGACGGTTATAAACGGAAAATCACGATTTAAAGGTTATTTCAATTTCGATTTTGATGATTTTTTACAGCTACACTCCTTGACCCTATATGAATACAATGAACCAATTTGATCGTCAATTTAAAATATAATACATTTAAAATATTATATTTTTCTAACAAAATAATTTTTTTATTTTATTTATTTTTATTTTTGTAAAGACTTTGCGAGACGAAGTTTAGAAATTCGTCGCGCAAAGTCATGCAAAGATTTTTATAAAAAAAAATTATTTTATTTATTTTTGTAAAGACTTTGCGAGACGAAACACACTTCGTCGCGCAAGATTTTGTGCACCGAATTTTATTTTTTCGTCGCGCAAAGTCATGAAAGATTTTTACAAATAATTTTTTATTTTCTTTATTTTTGTAAAGACTTTACGAGACGAACCACACTTCGTCGCGCAAAGTGATTTTGTGCGACGATTTGTGTTTCGTTGCGCAAAATTTAGTCGCGTAAGACTTTGAGCGACGAATTGTGTTTCGTCGCGCAAAATTTGGTCGCGCAAGGGTTTTTTTTTACTAGTGTTTGTTTTTCCTCGACGTCAAAACGACGTCGTTCTACTAATGTTTTTATTATTATTATTATTATTTTAAAGGCCAAAACCACGTTGTTTTGTCTCACGTTTTAAGAGAGAAAAAAATAAGAAAAAGGCGCAGACTCTGTTTAACACACAGAGCCCGATACCTCCCCTCCCCACACTGGCGGATCCACGTAGGCGCAAGGAGGTGCAGCTGAACCTCCCCTAGCCAGAAAAAGCTTTGGTGGTGCCTGAAAATGCCCCTCTGCTAGTGCCCACAACCTATTTGAGAAAATGCCTCAAAGAGGCTTTGTTCTTTGCTTCAGGCGAAGATGATGCACTGTGCGCTCGGCTCTTATGTGCTTTTTAAAAAATCCTGGCTAAAACGACGTAGTTTTGGGCCAGGAAAGTTTATAAAAAAAAAAAGAAATAGGAAACCTGCCTTCCCACGACTTATCACTTGAATTGAAGAAAAGGCAATTACTAATTAGCCGTGCGTTGAAGAAGCCCAGCCCATACCTTGCGTTGAATTGATGATAATTATTAAGTTAACTAAATTGATTATCATCGCTGAGTGAGGAGCCTGTCACTCTTGATAAGAGCTTTGACCACGGCCAGCATTTCTTCTATTTTTTTTTCTTCATTTTTTTGTTTGTTATTTATTTATAATATGTTTATTATTATAATTAATAATAATTGTTATTATAATTATTGATTTGGCTCTCTCTCTGTATTTTGTATGATCAATATAATAGCATATGACTCGATGTATGATCAATTATGATTTATTTATTTAATTGATAATTTGATATGCATTTCAATTAGATTAATTGAAATTGATTTGTTTAGATTAATCTTCGTTAAATTCTAAAGGTATGTGGTTGTCTAATTTTATTTTATTTTTGAACTTTTAGTCTTTTATTTATTGCCCCTTTCCTGAAAAATTTCTGGATCCGCCACTGCCTCCCCATATCAGTTTCAGTTCCCAGATTTGGGTATTAATTGTAAATGTATCTTGGGAATTTGTTCTTTTTCAAGTTATGATCTTTCTAGCTGGGTTTTAGAAATGTAGAAATTTGGAAATTGAACAATCACTGTACTTTGCCAATATTCTGGCATAAACATGGTTTTTTGGGGCTCTGTTTTTGTTCAAGTTTAAAGTTCATTTCGTTAAATTAATTTTCTGAATCATTGATTTGTGTTTTCTAGTATTGTTTTGTTTAAAATCTGTTTAAATTTGATGACCTTTCTGCCATTTTGTGTCCTAATGGCTAGAACAATAGATTTGGTGAATTATTGGACTCTGTTCTTTTTCAAGTTTTAACTTTGTCATTTGGTTCCAAAAATTGATCTTGTTTCTGGGTTTATCAGTTTCTTGAGGATTTTTGTCAATCTGTCGGCATCAATCTTGTTTTAGGATCTATCAATTTCTTGATGATTTTTGTCGATTTGTTTAAACTTGATGAATTATCTGAATCTTTGCGTTCTAAAATCTCCTCCTTATCTAATTTTTCTCGTCCTGTTCAAACTTGATGAATTATCTGAATCTTTGCGTTCTAAAATCTCCTCCTTATCTAATTTTTCTCATCTCTTTTTGTTTACAATTTCAGTAAAGCTAGAAACTAGGCAAGTCTTTGCAACTCAATTTCCCATGCTTTCAAGGTACATTGGTCAGATGAATGTACCTCAGCTCCGAAATCAATATCAAGTAGCCGTCGGGATGTTGACCCCTGGAATCCGTCCCTGGCTGTGGGGTTGAACAGCTGAAGGCTAGGGAGCACAAGGGAGGTGGTGTGTACTTGGTAGATGGGCATTTGGATTGTTTAGGGTTTAGAAACGTCTGCGGAGGCAAACCCCATTAGGGATCCGGAGTCTTGCATTTAGTATTGGTGCATTTATACGTATTTAAAAGAATATTAACCACTATCGGATTTTAATCCGTCTAAATCAGATTAATTGTATTAAATTAACACTCCCACTCACCTAATAATTTTCACTTTTCTAAAGAACTGAATCCCGACTCTCGAGTCCCAAAAAAATGCGATCATATAATAGATATCACTACAAGAATACAAACCAAACACATGCAGCATACTATATAATGAAATATTTTTACAATAAATTCAAGATCTTCACGAATTTAATATCAAGAATGATTACATGATTTTTCGTGCTTATACCAAATTAGCTACCGCCGGAATGAGCAGTCTTTTTTTAGGTTACAGACTTTGGGCAAGGCCAAGGATTGAACAAGAACAAGTGCGTTGAATTTTTGAATAAGGCCATGGATGGGTATCAGTTTGATTATAGTTTTTAAGTTGAAGGAGTTGATTGAAAGGTTTTGTGCTGTGGGTGATTTGCTTCCATCAAAATCACTTATAAACACAAATGCAACCAACACTGCTTAGAACTCTTTCCTCTAAACTTATGTAGATGCATAGTAGTGTGCGAAGAACGAGAAAGACCCAAAATATCTATCTATTTTTCATTATAATGGATAGGAAGCATAACAAAGAATTGCATGTATTTACTAGTAAGAGATGATAAACCCTAGATAGCTATAAGGTTGGCCATCATCCATCTCATTTTAAGGGGGCAATGCTATCATCATAACTAGCAATTAACTTAATCGGTATTCCCCGAGCAACTCCCATATTATTAGGAAAAACAAAATCAAGTATTCTATATTGTTTGCTCTCCATATCATAAAGAAGCAATTGAGGTGGACCGTCGTCAAATCTTGGTGAATTTCCATGAAAATAGAGTGCGAGCGCTAGCTCACCTGTATGGATTGTACCCAAAGCTTCAACGTAGCCTGCTCCTCTTGGCATCGCGGTAATAGTCTCCTTAACCCACACAGGGTTCTGGTAGTCCTTCAAAATCCATAACACTGTCTCGTTGTGTCTCCACGACCTGTCAGCAAACACACCCACACATCCTCCCACCTCAACAACACCTGTAGGGAACGCAATCCTATTGCGGCCATAATTATCTGGACGAAACTCTGGTGCATATTCTTCAGGTAGTGACACCAGTCTGAAGGTCTCCTCTCTAACGTCAAATACCACTATTATTTTCTGCGTCCCATGGATCCAGTGTATGGCCCCATTCAGGCACAAACATCCAGTACTTCTCCCATTCCTTACCTCAGTGGCGTGAACTCGAGCATCAAAAAAACGAAGGTGGGCAGGGTCTACCTGCAATGGCCTCCAAGAAGAATCCCTACCTAGGGTGAATGTGTTGAACCGAATATGCCTAGGCCTAAGTCGGTTGCGACGAAAGGACAAGATCTGGAGAACCTTATACTCGTTAGTCAGTGGACTATAGCCGAAGTGATATGTAGCGTATGCGAAGCGGTAATTATCTATTACATGGGGAAGTTCGATGGACTCTTGAGTGCTAGGGTTAAGTATGAAAACAGGACCACACCTAGAGGATGCACAAACCAAGCCATGGACACACTGCACACGATTAGGACGACATTCGAGAGCTTCGCATCGAACCAGGTATGAAAGTTCGGCAACAGGTGTTGGATTTAGAATATACTGCACATGATCAGGATAACGTTCGAGAAATTTGCTCCGAGTCGTGAGTGGAAGTTGGGCGATGGGTGTTGGAATTAGAATATTATTCTCTCCTTGTCGCTCCTCTATCTTTGAAGAGAACAAACGGCTATTCTTTTTGAAAAGGAAGTTAGTGGTGCTCTTGTTTCTGTCGTTGCAGTGAAAATTGTTGAAGGCGGTGACAAAGGAAGGGCTGCGGAAGAGGGAAGACCAAGACTTGCATACGCACTTGCACCGCATCAGAGCCTTTGGTGGTAGCCGTGGGAGTATATGATAGAATATGATTTCGGTTGGGAGCTGAGGGTTTATACATACATATCTCGATTTTACCAGTTTCCTTGGGCGACTTTCTTTGGCCATCGAAAGACCTGAATATAGTACGCTAAAGAGGCAGAAAAAGAAACAATGGGGATGCTATAATTTTGCTAGGGCTTGTTGGCTTGGCATTTATAGGTCAACAGAGTTACTAACAAGCTAAAAGAACAAAGGAATTCTAACCATATCTGAATTGGTATCCTTTTTTTATTATTTGTTTTTTGATATCTGAGACAATTCAAATTCCAATAGTTTGTAGGATTAAAATTTGATTTTTGCTACATCCAATTGTGTTTAAATCCAATTATATTTTTCCGCGTGCAAGGTTTTCATTTTTAAATACGATTATTTTCCACCAACATGGTTAATCTTTCAGCTTTTATAAATAATTAGCTTCAACTCTCTTGTTCACAGTGTTTTACTGCTGTGGGGACGGCATTTGGGTTGTTTAGGGACTGTAATTTCCCTAAATAAATTCATGTTGGTGCGCGATCTATAATTTCCTATATAAATCCATACAGGTGGTAGCTGACAGTTGAGTGCCATGCATAAGTCCTTCCGGCTCGAGGTTGTGGATATGGCCTAGTGCTGGTTGTGAGAGTAGCCAATCTCCTCCTAAACTTTTTCAAACAAAATAAAAATAAAAAAAATTCAAAAAGTCTTTCATCAATCAGATGCTCCAATGCCATTTATTATTAGTACAACTATAACTTATATTTCTCCTCCAATATATGGAAGAGTGGCATTGCTATATTCCCAATGATGTCTAAAAAGGACAAAATTTCATGATCCCACTTGGGTGCTATCATCACAAAGAATGTCACATAATGGTGTCCGAATATCTATATTGTCAAAGTAACATAGTGGTGTGACGATCACACCAAAGAATTCATCCACAATTCCTCAACATTGGCATCACTTGATTACTGGCTCTTAGCAAGAGGTAGAGTTAGAGTGGCAATAAAGATTGTGGAAGGGGTCGAAAAACCGGATATCAACGTGTACCATATGGGTTGATCAAGGGGCTTTTGAGGTCGAGAAAGGTGCGTGAAGCAACACAAGTGTTTAGGGCAGATGATTAAAAGGAGGTGTGATAAAACTAACAAGCACACTTAGATCATGTTATTATTGCAAAGGCATTTGGGAAAAAAATGCCTTCATATATCATCACTACAAGAATTCGAACCAACGATATTACTTTCTTTTTTCTTTTGGCCTTTGTGTTTTGGTTTTGGTTCTGTTCTCTAGAAGCTCCTAGATGTTTCTAGAAGACTGGTATAGGATAGTCAATCATGAATTTGGAATGCGAAACAAAATAAATAATTTTAAGTTTATTATTTTCATTTATTAATCATTAACAAATTGCTTCAATCTGTGGACACGATGATATGACATCTTTACTCATGAGCAGGAGGGATTTGTTCTTACAAAAACGTGTCCAATATCAAAATGAATAAACAAATAAGACCCACAAAGAAAAAAAATTTGCACGAGGAAAAAAAAAAGGAAAGAAATAATGGATGAATGAATTGCTACAAACGCCTTAAACCAAAAAATAGAAAGAAAAAAAAGAAAAAAAAAAAAGAGTTGCAGCTACTTCTGTGCCAATCTTCTAATCTACAGCTTCCACATGCTCACTCTCCCTGTGATGACTCATGAGCGTCTTCAAGGTTCTTCGGATTCTGAGCATGTATTACATTTTGTTGTCAAATTCATATAATCTGCTCAACAACACAAAAAACATAGTTAAATTCAAGATTGACAACTAGATACAAACTCAATTGGGTCGATGCACTACATTTACATAGTCTGAATTTGAATTCTGGAAAGATGAGAGAAATTACCAGAGAAAAAAGAGGAAAAACAATTGTACACTTCGGCAATGATGAAATCTCCTGAAGTAAAACAATCATTTTTTCACGAATGGTTTTTGGCAAACAAGTAGCCGTTGGTCACTGCCATTCTGAAGGTCGATCACCCTTGCTTCCCAACGTATTTGTGTAGCAAACATGCGCGCCATCTCAATAGCTCCCACTTTATCACAGAGAACAACCCATCCCTGCCAACCGGCCATAATTCATATCTCAAAACGGGATTTCATCACAAAACACCGAAATATAGAAGAAGGTTATAATTATTTGCATTAGAAAATATCACAAAATGGACTTGTTGAGGCCTTGATCGTCGCATGCCAAGATGGCAAGCGATATTATTGAAGAAATAAGGAGAGAAAAACAAGATTTGTAAAGGTGGATTAGAAAAATCAATATTAGGAACAAAACAAGGAAAGACAGGCAACAGACTTCTTCATCTTAATGTGCATCTTGGAGTATAGAAATACAAGCAAGGTGGGAAATAAAAGTACCTCAGGTCGCAGAATCCGATCCATCTCCAAGAATAAATCCATCATGCTGCACCTCTCTGAAGACAGATGCGAGAGCAGCCCATTCGCATGCAGCAAATCATATGTTCGAGGATATGTAGGGAAAGGTTCACACCTGCACCAACAGATAGATCACAACTATGACTCTACGTCAAGTCTTAAATTGCAATCAACATAGACTTGCAGGCACACATTTATAGAAAGGGAAAGAAAATAGGATATAAAGAGCACAAATGAGTCCTAGCTTTTTTAAATTTAAACTCTGTCAACCTTAGTTAGAGTTAGTCATTCTCAAATTTTTTTTTGCCCTCGAAAAAACACAGTGCATCTTAGATACACTGAAAGAAGCTTCAAATATCAAGTTAGCCAACAGAGTTTCTGAAGGAAATGAAACCAACAACTTACCAGTCATGCAAAACACCAGCAAAACCTAGATCTAGTATGAGAGGAAGTGTATAGAGAGCATTGACAGGCACTACATTCATCACCCAAACTGATTTTCTTTCCTCCAGAAAAGCAGCATTTAAACCCCCATAGTGAGCACTCATGTCCATCACATTGCGAATCATGTTGAATGGAGGTAATGGGTCTTCATCACCTGGTCTCTTTGGATGGTCAGAGAAAATCAAGGGTGTAAGCAAGGACCAATAGTTTCTCAGAGCTGATCTCCAAATCTGTAAGTCTTCAAAGAAATCGTCAGGCTGAACTCCTGCAAAGATAAAAGGATATCAATATGCTGGCAGAGCACCATGAAGTGAAGCGTAGAACTGAATGATCTTGGCAGAGATACAACCATAAAGATTTTAATGCATTTGGAAGTTGGAACCAACCACTCTCCCTAAAAGAGAGAAGACCCAAAAAAAAAAAACCAGATGATGGAATAGTACTTTCCATGAATTTCAAGCTCAGCAGAGTTCAACTGATGGGGACTCGAGGACCTATTTCGGATTGGAGTCCAGCGTTTGTTGGTGGTCCCACTTATACATGATACGAGAGGCTTATAATATGACCGAACATCATGCCCTTCATTACAAAGTGGTATAGCACCCTGCTTGCTACAATAAAGAACAGAAAGAAAAACATTACTAGGGTTCTTTTTCAGAGGAAGAGGAAAATAAGTGGGGCTCTTTGAATACACTAATTCAATGGCGCAAGTCAATACCAAAGCTTTAAACAGTACTGAATTTTCAAATATCAAAGCTTTAAACAGTACTGAATTTTCACAAGAGACGGAGGCAATGTTGTAACTATCCTCACCGAGATGTATAGCAATCAGAATCCACAGTTTTCTGCCATATAAAAGTTTCATATTGCTGAGCTTTTAGAGTCCAACAGATTTTCGGGGTCATTTCCTCCATTGGTGTCAACATGCTATTCTTCATGCTCAATGAACTTCCATATGGCTGGCTTGTGGATGAGGTCAAAACAAAGTAGCCACCAGGCTTGAGTACCCGGTCAACTTCTAAAAGCAACGTCCAATCTGATTCATGAATTAATTATGGTTACATGAGAGGAAGGGTATTCGAAAAAGCATAAGACAACTCATCTTCTAAGGCTATTAGCAGAAGAGAGATAGAGGCTACTCAACCCCAAAGGAAGCCCAAAATGTAAGAAATATGCCTAATAAAGTCCAAATTACCTTTTTTGTCCCAAACAATACCACATTGAGCACAATGAACCATCTCAAAGGACAATGCTGGATATGGAAGCTGTCTTGTAATGAAGTTGCCAATCATTGCTGGAAGACCTCTCTCAAGGGTCAATTGAACTTGACTGCCAGTTGCCTCATATGCCGCGATACAAATAGCCATTACATTTAGTGATACTAAATGAGCTCCAAAGCTACCAAAACCGCAACCAATATCTAGTACAGTTTGCACCTGTAGTTTAACATAGATAGTTCTGACGTTACATTTATCACAAACAAGAAGCAAAAGTTGCATGTTTTTTTTGCTTCCAGCATAAACCTAAATTTTGGACTTTGAGATAACAAAAGAGATACGTATGTAATACACTCTGGCCTCTTTGAAATCTAACAGTAACACAAAGAAGATAATTATAATTGTAATTCACAAAGAAGGCTTACACCAGCTTGAAGAAATTGAGAGTCATCACTTAAACCGAGCATCTTCGCAATTTGAAGAGAATAATCCTTGACACCATCAAAAATCAAACCATCCTCAGAGTGAAAGGCAATTTGATTTTCTTCTAGTAACATCAACCTGAATAAATTGTAAAGAAGTTAAAGAATATGACTCTACACAGAAATAATTAGTCACTCACAAACGAAAAGAAAAGAAAACACCAAAACTAATACAATTTGCATAGAGTCGAGAAATTTAAATGTTTTAATCACTGGTGAAGATAAAAGATCATCAATTATTTAAAAGCTGTCAAATATATTGCTTCAACTGGGAAGCACCTTTTGGTCATGCTCCCAGACGAAAGAAATTGGTCTTTGGTTATCTTCACGTTTCCACTCCATATCACATCCCTACCAGCTGGCCACCTCAGGGGAATCTTATAGTCCTTAGGAGGGCGAACTAGGCACCGTTCTCTGTTTCTTGATACTTCACAATGCCTATCAAACTCCTCCCCATCTTTAAACCCCCCAAAAAGGTTTGCTGAAACATTGTAACAAGGCACATAATTTTCTCTTTCTCTGCCACAAAGACCAAGCTCTCTTTGTCGACTAGCCCCTAGTGAGAGAGACCTCAGCTCCAGATAATCAACCGCTGCTTGCTCCTTTAGCCTCCTATAGTTTGTATAGATGTCCGGTACTGAAACGGGAGTTAGAGAGTCAAATGTATTTGAAGAGGATGATCCCAACACTGCAATTAGTGCAAGAACACTAACGAGGCACAAGAGTAACCAATTGAGTGGCGGTCTAGGGCCAAAAATGAGAGAAAGTTTATTGGACCAGGAGCTTCTCATGTCCGAATCGTGCAACCCCGACTTAAGAATTCCAAAATAGGCCCACTAAATCACCAAGTCCTTCAGTTTAAATATCCAAGAATTGCGAAAACCATAACCTATCATAACATACAAGCTTCTGTGTATATTTCCGTGAGTCCGGTTGAATCCTACAAGCATTGAAAGAATAAATTCCACTTCTTCCAAAATAACATCTGCAAATCTTCACTTTCTGATTGTGCCATCAGAAAAGAACTTCAGATCACAACCCAACACAATTCAGTATGAATCAGCAAATTTTGAAAGTTTGCACCACCAATTAAGTAAATGCCAAATTCGGAAAGAAACAGGACTAGGACAAAGTGTTCAGCCAAGAGCAACCTGCAGCAAAAACCAAAGATCCACCAAATCAATCCATCACAATAACTGTCCCGAAGAAAAAGTCCCCATTTGGTTGCTGAGAAAACTACAAGTGAATCTTACAACAGATTCCATTGACAAGATTCCAAATTCCATTTTCATTTTCCACGCTTCCCAGCAACCAAACAGAGCACGATAAGCCCAGAATAAATGCATCACTTTCCTTTTTTAGATATCAGTGAGACAAATTCCAGATCCCGAAATGGAAAACAAAAATTTCAACTCAGATCCAATCAAAAGCAAAAGGAACCACTAACATCCCATATATAATCAAAAAGCAATTAATCCCGGAATTTAATAACAGGAAAAAGAAACTCATTCTCAGAACTGACAATTAGGGTTTTGGGAATGCTTACCGGTTTTGGGTCGTTGAAGAGAGAGATTCAAAAGCTCCAAAACACAGAAAGAGTCTAACTTTATTTATCAGTCCAAATTTATAGGAATTCTAGTTACTTGAGTTATTTGTGTTTTCTGTTTTTGAGTTCGTGTTGAGGTTTATTTATATCTCTCATACTTAAATCAGATCCAGAGGGCTCGCATATTTAGACAAAAACAATCATTCAATGTTTATAATATATAAAAACTAAAATGAATTTATGGGAATCATTGTGATTTATTGTGTTTTGCACTTTTTTTTTTACTTTTTTAATTACTATTTGTTTTTCGTTGTTTTTTGTCTACGCCATGACGTATGCCAACAGGACTGGCCTTCCGATGGAAAAAGAATGGACGGCTGTGATTTAGCCGTCATTGGTAAGTGGATTAATTAGTTTTAATAAGACTCCATTTGGCTAATTTTTAGCTTCCTTTGCCGCGTGTGTGTCGTAGACCCATCATCACAAAACAAAGCCCCTCTCCAATAATTCCAATTTATTTCAACCACGTCGTTGTCAAAATGTTTTCCCTTTATTCTTTTTTTAACTTTTTTATTTAAATTGTCACGTTTGTTTGGAAACATTTGTGTGTTTGAAACCAACCAACCCAAAATTGCCCAGACGAAACCAATTCCATTATTCAATTAATTTGGGTTGATCTTGGCTGGTACCCAACTTCCATTCACCCAATAAAAATATGAGCCGTGCGTGATGTTGCTGCTTTAGTTGCGAGTTTTTTTTGCCAACTGTGGTGGTCCAGAGTGGTGCTGCTAGAATATGAGCTGTCCCAATCATAGAGGTTTAAGCCTCGCCTTTTTTGTTTTTCGTTTTTATCTTTTTGTGTGAAGAAGAAGCCTTGTATTGTTTGATGGTCAACATTTGCCTTGATTGGGGTCATGGGAGATTCTTGACCGGGAAAAATATATGACCGCTTTAATTCCATAAAATCAAACCATGTGGGTTTTCTGTTTATGCACCTAAACCAAAAAAATTACGTATATATTAATAAGGGTTTTGCTCCATAATCCCTTGCTCATCTCTTGCCAATTTCAACCAGAAGTCTGGGTCTTTCTCCAAAATGGGGAATTGCCATTTATCAGGGTTGCATATCCAAATTGAATCAGAGAATTTATCAAGCTAAACTCAAACTCAACCATAATAAAACCAGACCTTTTAATGACATCCCTTGCTCTTCAAGGATTTTAACAGCAACTTACATCAACTAAACAAAATCTATGTGCTCACATACAAAGCAGACTAAAGAGTCCCTCGCAGACGGGGATATCAACTTATCAGATTTCAGGGCCATGCCATCAAGTTATTAATTAAAACACAACTTGAGAATTATATTGAGAGTAGGAAAAAAGCAGTTTCAAAATAATACATTGTAGGAGTTGTAATGGTGTTGAACAAGAGATATTGAGGTATATGTGAAACCCAACACCAGTTCCTGTCAGTTCAACCAGGAACCGTTCATCTGTGTTTGCTAGCCGAAGAATCTGGCACAAACCTAGACTGATATAACACAGAGATAACTGAAGGAAGCCTCCCAAAAACTCTAACATCATCCTTCTTTTCCTCCTTCAAGCAGTTTCCAGTTCCCTATTCAAGTAATCAACGAACATCCTTTTTGCATTGTCTGCATCAGAAGGTGGAGGTGGCCCACTTAAACTCGTTTGCCCCGTCAATTTTATGAAAGTTCGCCGCAGCCTACGAAGCTCTGGAAGCCCTACTGCTCTGGAAATATTGATAGGTGGTAACCCCTGACCAACAGAAACTCCATTTAAAGGCCCTCCAAGTGCCTGGGATTGTGCTTCCACAATAGCATTGATCACCTCCTGGGTTGCTCTGTCCAACTCATACAGAGAATTTGCCTCGGAAAACCTTGTATTCTGTGTTGCGATAGTTGGCTGCAAAGTTTTAACATCCCGTGACTTTGAGTCTGCCTTCTTTGTCAAATACGAAATAGCATCTACAATGGCAGCAGAAGTATTTTCTATTCCCTCTTTATGTGGCCATAACTCAAACAATGGTGAATCCCACCGATTTCTTCTATCTGGAGTCTCAAACCTTCTTATCAAATCTTCAAATATCTTATCACTATAAGCACCTTCTCCCTTCTCCCTGCGCTCTTCATTCCATTTTCTACAATGGGTTTCATCAGCATCACAATATAAAACACAGTATCTTATTCCTGCAGCACGAGCCAAACACCACAGCTCGTACCTGTAACCCTTGATGCTATTCAAAGAATCTACTATTATGATACTGTCTTTCGACACCGATCTATCAACTTCCGATCTCAGCACTCCTCTTAAATTCTTCTCTGCAGGCATATTGGCATAGCTCTCATTGCGGTCAAGATGAAAGGAAGTTTCATCAATAACCCTGACTGTTTGGTTGCATCCTGATTCTTTGAGAGCCTCAGCTAGGCAGAATGCAGCCATTGACTTCCCACTACAGGGTTGTCCACAGATTACAACCAATGCCATTTTCTGAAAAACCTGGCTACTTTTGACTACCCAAAATAATATCCCAACTGCTCGGGATTCAAAAATGATGCTCGGATAGCTGCTAGTTCACATGAACAGAGTTATCCATTAGCATGAAAGACATAGTTTGTAATTTGCAGTAAGCGTGAATGTGTATAATGGACTCCCAAATCAGATTTACCAACATTCCTATTCCAACTAACATAGCTATAAATCAAACCTGAATAGGGATATCAAATTCAAATACGACCATTGTAGTGAGATTCAGATGTAAAGACTTTCATTATAATTTATGCACTCTCAAAGCGAATACATTATTAGAAATGACAAGGAGAAAAGGAAAAACTATCAACAATTTCAAGCAGTAACTTTTTTGTTAAACAAACAAGCCTCTGCAGACTGGGAACCCTAATTAATATCGATAGAAACCCCTAGAAACTAAACGATTGACAAAATCAACTCAAATCGAAACAAGAACTAGAAATCAATTATTCAAGCTTACGCAGGAAATTAAAGAAAATTAGAAGACAGAGCTTGAGATTTAAGAAGTACCTCTTTGACGAGAAGAGGAAGTCGATTTCAGCTGAAGATCAGAGACTCATACTTCGGTTTGAAGTTGGAGACACAACGAGAGTAAAGTCCGTTCTGCTACAGCACTCTACAGAGACAGAAGGGTTTCGTTTTCGTTTCGGGCGAGACAAAACGACGTCGCTGACTTTGTTATTAATATTTATTCGATTCTATCGACCCACCCGACCCGAACATATGAAATATTTGGAATGGGTTTGGGCGCCGCTGCCGCTTCATTTGGCCACCAAGACTCACGCGTGCAAGACGATAACGCTCTTCATTTTCGCTGAAAAATTACATTATAAATACCAATAAATGGCATCACTCTTCATCACAAAATGGTGCCAGCATTAAAACCCTAGAGACTCTGTTTCGCAAATACATTGATCATTTCATTTCGCCTTCTCTCTTGGTTTTTGGCGCCGACCCAAACCCAATCTCGGTGAGTTTTTCATCCTCCTTTTCTTTCTCGACATGTTTTAATTGTATTTTTCCTATGAATCTATGATCATGAGCTGCATCACCAGCAGCAGGGTTCAGTATACGAGGATCCATAGCGCTGCAAACCAGTTGTGCAAAAGATGAATTAGGATATAAACCTTTGACCACCGCATGTATACGAGTTTGTAGGACTAACTCTAAAACCTTGACAAAACGATTTGTAAACTACTGGGGTTGAACTCGGGTGAAACGAGACGGGCATAATGTAGGATGATGGATTTTTGTTATTATGTTTATTTTGAATTGTTGGAGAGTTAGCCATATTTTATGGGGTTTTCCTTTTCTTTTTCTTATTACCCTAATGATCGTAGGGATCTACAGAAAAAGGGGAAGATAAAACTTAAAAACCAATTTTCATATCTATAATAGGATACCACGTCGTTTGAGGAGGAATTTGATTGAGGAGAATTAGATTCCGGATTCTTATTGAAGTTGTTTACTAAACCATATAGATTGAGGGGAGTTAGATTCCATATTTCTATTGAAGTTGTTTACTAAACCATATGGAATTGAGGTAGGAGTGATACTAATTACTCAAATGTCCTTGTTGTTGGGTTAAAGTAGATGACAAATTTGAAATTTTGAATATTGTGTGTTGATATAATGGGTAAAAAAGTGAATTCCTAATGGGTTCATTCTCTAGGAATTAGAATACTACCTCCCACTCAGGAATTGAATTCCTCCAAAATCAGTAATTCAATTCCTAATTTTGTGTGGGCCCCACTTACTTTTCAATTCCTTGATGTGAAGTAAACGCATTAATCCTCCATATGCAGAATTCAATTCCTGATGAGAATTCCAATTACTGAATAGTAAACACACCATAAGTTTTTCTTACCTTGGGTTGTCGTGCTTTTTTTTTGGGGGGGGGGGGGGGGAGGAGGTTGGGGGGGGGGGGGGG